GAATGGTAACATGTGCCATTCACCATTGTCCATAATTTGTATTGCTCACTCAGTTCACACATAAACATATACTCACGCATTGAATAACATTGTGAGCTGGGTATAGTTAATTCTTGCCATTCATACCTGTTTCGTTCCTTAATACATTGACCATCTCCACACGACCATTCTGATACTGAACATGCATGGTCATCACAATTGAAAGGATCTGGTTGATAAGCACATCCACTATGATTAAATGGTCGTTGTTCATCGGAATCATCCATACAATCATATTCACCTAGACATAATTATATATCTTTCTCAACTATAAAATGTCATCTGACTTACCGTCTAGAAAATAACTATCTGGGATACACATTCCATTAGAACAACGATATTCATCCTTGTCACATTCATTGAACTCAAGTAGATCACAAGTTTCTTCATCCAATCCATTCATACACTGTTGCCGTCCATCACAAATATCACGCCAATCCAAGCAAAGTAATCCGTGGTCACATATTAATGTTGTATAACATGGATTTTTCTGATAAACATGCATACGAAAACGACTATCTCGTTTTAGTACGTTCTGCATTCTTCGTGCCTCTGAAAATATTGGTCGTGTACCTCCAGGCATAATATAAAGCTGGTATTCACAGTTTTTCCCAAAACTGCGGCTTTTACATTCGCACAAAAAGCTAGAGTTACGATGGCCAGATACGTAAAAAGAATATTCTTCAGCTTTTTCAACACTTAATCGAAAGTTATGAATGATCTGACTTGGGGTTCGATTATGACGGTGTAACTCTGCAAAGGACCACGATTTTCCTCCAAATTGACATGAGGATTCATTATATTCTTACGACTTAAAGAAATAGGAGAATCAGATCATCGACAATACGGAGCATCATCTACTATCATACAATCGTAATATTCGACGTTGTCATTATCTTCGGTATTGAACAAATAAATTGATTGTTGATTAGATAGACGAAGTAATATAAGGAAAAAGTAGAGAAACACAACAAACGACATTGTGGGTGTGTGTGTGGGTGCGGGTGTTAATTCAACAAATATAATACCCACACCCACACCCACACCCTCACCCACACACACACCCACACTCACACCCACACCCACACACACACCCACACTCACACCCACACCCACACCTTCAAGAATTATGGTAATCGTAGTGGATTATTGGGTAAGTGTTTCGGTAGTCTAAGTGTAGTACTGGTTTATCTTGCGGAATTACAGTGTAATTATGGTGAATTACATGATAATCTTGCTGGATTACAGGATAATTATGATGAATTACAATATATTTATGGTGAATTACGTGGTAATCTTGGTGAATTTCGGTGAATTATGGAATAATTTTGGTGAATTACGGTGAAATTATGGTGAATTACAAGGTAATTAAGGTGAATTACAGTGTAATCTTGGTGAATTATTGGGTTATTATGGTGATTTGAATGGTAATTTTGGAGGATTACGGGATAATTATGGTGAATTACATTATACTTTTGGCGAATTATAGGGTCGTTTTGGTTAATCATATTGTAATCTTGCTTAATTACAGTGTAATTTTGATGAATTACAGGGTAATTTGGGTGAATTACAGTATGATTTTGGCGAACTACATCGTAATCTTTGAGGATTACAGGATAATTATGATGAAGTACGGGATAATTATGGTGAATTACATGGTAATTGTGATGAACTTTAGCGTAATCTTGCAGGATTACAAGGTAATTTTGGTGAAGTATAGTGTAATTTCGATATACTGCATGATAATCTTATTGAATTACAATGTAATCTTAGGTAATCACTGGGTAACCTTGATGAATTACCGTGTAATTTCGGTAGATTATTGTGTAATCTTAGGTAATTACTTGATAATCTTGATGAATTACACGGTAATCTTGCAAGATTACATGATTTTTATACGAATTACATAAGCAATTGTGTGGAATGTAGAGAAAGGGTGCGGGAATCACATGATTTGAGACAGCTGGGTTTCGAAAATTAGAAAATTGTATTAAATTTAACGATCACGTTTGCGTGGATGAAGTAATTATCGCCAAATATTCCATCGGATATAGTGGTATCCGATGAAAAACGGTCGAATCGGAGTGTTTTCCGATGTTTGACTGCGACCGGATCCAGTCATTTTCGATCGTTTCCGACAAGTGGATCCGACAGGAATCGATGGGATCTTTTCCGACGTAATCCAGGTCGGAATCCGTTTGTTAGGATTCTGGTGAAATCTTGGTCGCATTCGATCGGATTTTTCTGGGTTTCCTGCTAGTTCCTGATGCGTTCCGATGTCGTATCCGATAGTTTTCGGTCGGAATGAATCACCTGGGTATTTTTGACCTTTCCACCCAGCCCTCTCTTCACACACCCATCCTTAATCATGGTCACTCAACAGATCTCAAATTCGAACTCCTTGCATCGAAAAACCTCTAGAAATGTCTTTTCCAGAAAATTGATTTTCAATGTTTTTTTGATCCTGCGGACACACATGCAATCAATCAAGTAAGCAGACAATTTATGACTACTGGACTCTTCTCTACGAGAAAGAGAATATTGGTCAACAAGTGTTAATAAATCCAACGGAGATCATATTTTCTTTTAATTATTTTATAATAACTTTTTGAATATCTTCTCCAGTAATTAAAAAGTGTATATTTGTTCTCGATTTCTTGGCAACTTCGAGTAAGATAGCTAGTTATGATGTTATGGGCACTCTAGCGTTTGGTATAAGTCCATTAAGAGCTTATTATCGAAGAAAAAAATTCCTATATATTTCTTATGTTATTATGAAAATCCTATATAAATGCTGCTTTCAAAATCCTATATTTTCTTATATCCTCGGAATAGATCGCTACGAAGCCTGGCTGTGAACTGCAGTTGATACTGTTTTTTGCACAGTATTGAGCACAGTTATAAACTTTCACACGTTTTCTTTTGTTTCTAATGGTCCAGAAAGTTAGAACATGAAATTCTGCACATTTTGGTACAAATAATTCCATCCTTTTATCAATTAAAAAATTCTCCTAAAAAATAAATGGTATTGGGAAGACCTATTATTTTTGAATGTTTCGGATATTAATTATGATATACGTCATTTTTTTCTGTAAATTCAACTGAAAAGTAATAGTGTAAGTCGGCAGTTGGGTGTGGGTGTGATGTGAGTGAGAGTGTGAGCGTGGGTAAGGGTATCGATGAACAGAAGAGTATCACCGACACCCACACCCACGCCCACCTCTATATAATATTTACCGAGTATTACCAGTGCATTGACTATTCTTTTCATATTTTTTCTTTTTCTATTATCATCACACTTAACATATATTGGACGAGTTCAATTTTACCCAGTACATGTTAGGTGGTCATGTTTGAAAAGCATCCGCCACTAAAATTTTTGGCACATGTCTTGAGCTGGAATGTACTTATATTTTATAAAAAAAATCGAGAACTATAGTTCTTTTATTTCTGTATCTGCAAACATTTTCCTATTCCATTTGAACAATAGGTATTTCTAAATATTTGAAAATTTGATGGTCTTCGTTGCAAAGAATATGTTCAGATCCTTCGATATCCTTTTCAAAATAGCTCGTCGAATGTTCTTCTGTTTTAAAAGACGTAAAAATGTCATCAAATCGTATCGCTCTTAGAATAAAACCATTATTTAAAGGAAGATATATAGAACTATTATCAATGATAGTACCATCTTGTTTTGTAATTGTTCAAGCTGTGCAGCTTTAGCAAGTCGGAGAATATTGAGTTTAAAACATTTTATTGCTATTACAAATCGATTCAACGCAGCAGCAAACATTGTATACGTGCCAATATTGGCTCCAATATCGATAAAAGACAAGGATGGATTAAGAAGAAGAACATGAAATAATCAATTTAATTCCTCTTCCTCTCATTTTTTGTTTTCTAGGATAAAATGACTTATAAAATCATTTATTGAATGGACACATATAGTTGTACGAACTAAATTCAATAATAACTTGATTTTTACACAGGAAATGTTCTCGTTTCTGTTATTATATAAATTAATGACATTTGGTTTAGAAGATATGTTACTATTCCATATTTTTGATTGTATAATTGTATTATGCAGAAAACCTGTAATTATGGTAATAGCGACAAATACTCTCATATCTAGAAAATATTCAAATTAAAATCTAGATACATCATGCAGAGTATAATGTTGCTTTCAAACTTCTGTTTAGAATAACTTTTGAATTTTAGATACTCATATATCCTTATTTTATTCGCTTTTAATCGATTTTAATCTCGGTTATTTCTGATCAAAAATCGATTAAAAGCGTATGATTGTCAGAGATTTTTAAACATTTTTCGGTTGATTTTCTCGTCAAAGCTTTTTTTACATAGGAATGCCGGCTAAATAAAGTCAAATTATATCTTTTCAAAGCAAAAAATACAAGACTAGTAATAACTCTGAGTATACATAAGGAAAAATTAGTTGTTAAATTTCAACAATAACTAAAGTCAGTAAGAAAGACTAAACGATTAACAGTTAAAAGATCTTCGTCTAGTTTGCTATCCGGTGTGATTCGTTTGAAAAATTGAGCCTGCCCGAAAATGAAATTGTTCCGTCGCCCATGATTATAATCAATGTGAAGTTTCACATATTTTAATGTATTGACAAAATAGATTAGGATCAGTACGACAATCGGTTTTTTGTATTGAATTATGTATTTCAGCTGTTATATTCGACCAAATGTTATTTTTCTCATCTCAACTTAACCAATTTTTAATATTCGATTTGATTTAAAATTGAGAAGCTATTTCTAAATTGAGTAGATAAAAAAATGAGTATAATATTTTGTTTAAGAGTTTTGATATTATTCATATTTAATATCTATTGTAATTGTGAATATATTTATCCAGGTTTAGTTTGGAATGATACAGATGGTAAATCTATTCAAGCTCATGCCACAGGTATTCTTATTGATCCAAATGATGAATCATATTGGTGGTATGGAGAATCTCTTAAAACTTCAACATTATCTGATCATGGAATAAATTGTTATCATTCAAAAGATTTAATCCATTGGACAAATATGGGTGAAGTACTTGGACAAAAACAAGTATTTATAAAAGATCTTTCAGGTCCATATGTTATTGAGAGACCTAAAGTTATTTGGAATGAAAAAACAAAATTATATGTAATGTGGTTTCATCTTGATAGTATTGATTATAAATATCGTTATGTTGGTGTTGCAACATCATTAATACCAAATGCAACATTTAAATTTGTAAATGCATTTCAACCTGATGGAATTCCATCACTCGATATGAATATTTATGAAGATAAAATAAATAATATTGTACGTGGAGTTTATCTTGTTCGTTCATGTCACAATGAATATGTTGGAATAAGTCAATTCACAGATGATTATTTAAATACAACGGGGATAACAAGTACAATTGGTGAACCTAGAGAAGGACATGCGATTTTTTATAGAAATAATCATTATTATATGATGACAAGTCATTTAACTGGTTGGTCTCCAAATCCAGCTGAACTTTTTATAACAAATCAAGATAATTTACATAATGCAAAATGGTATTCATTAGGAAATCCAACAAATTCTTCAATAACATTTAATTCTCAATCAACATTTGTTCTTCCATTTCCTTCAACAAAATATCCTGGAACTTATTTTTATATTTATATGGGTGATAGATGGAATTATCCTAATTTATTAAATGCAACTTATATATGGTTACCATTTACATTCAATTCAGATACAAATGTTACTTTACAATGGAAAGATCAATGGTCTTTAACTGATTATTAACATTTTCTTCGTAAATTGACTTTCCTCCATCGTCTTTGATGCTCGTCTAGTAGTTCTCATATTAACAATCTTTCTCTATCAATAAATTATCATGCACATTATTTTTTTAAAAATGCTCAGGGACAAAGAAAATGAGTGTTTATGGACGTTGTAATTTGTGTACATGACATCATTCTCTCTAAATGCAACTTCTGTTGTTTGTCGTCAAGAAAACACAATAACAGAACGAAAGATTTCACAAGGTTGAAAAAATAAGTGGATGTAGATTTGGTTCCTGATACGATAGTAATTAATTACAATTTTCTCCATCTCGTTTTTTAATTACAAAACAATCATAACTATAATTTCTTTTCTTGTTCTTGACGTCAACATTGTAAAAGGAGAAAGAAAAAAAAA